GGAGAGACGGAGAGAGGGAGGGAGGGAGGACTATTACATCTAGCCCTTAATCTTTCTTTTATTAATATCAGTTGGAAAATCTAATTTAGATAGTGTTTATTACTAGCTAAAAGACTCATAAATGAATCTTATACTAAGTGGTACTAAAAACTGTAATTAGTTACTGAGTTGTGCTATGTAAATACAGAACAAAAAGGACATAATCAAGTCTTTAAATAAAATGTTTTGAAAATTGATATCAAAGTTGTTCTGGGGAAGTCACATGTTAAGAACAGCTATACCTAAATTTATTATTTTCAAGATAATATCAAGGGATACCCATGTAAACATGTAATTTCAACAATCTGTCTGAGCCATTCATACTACTGCTATTTTCATGTTTTGCATTTGATATAAAAACCACTCAACTGTTTACAAATTCATGAATTACATTTTTAATACACACCTGCCAACGGAACACACTGCTTTACATGTGTAATAAGGTTGTCCGCTGGAGTTTTCAAGGTCATAAAGTACAATCACACCATCTGAACCACCTGATAACATACTGATAATAAAAGAGTTGGCATTAATTTAACATTTTATATAGCCCATTTATTTATGATGATTGCATATTCCTGAAAATTATTGGTCTGCAAATACCCAGGCCCATTAAGTCCATAAATACAGAGTAAATCCTCATTAATACAGATGTCAATAAACTACATTTCCTAATTTTAGAAAAAATGAATACAGCAAACTTCAATCAGTGATCGTTTAAAATTTAACCTTTGTGATTCCAAAAAGAAAGGATGGTTGAAACAAGACAGCAAAGATATTTCTTACTTAAGAAGGTAAAATGTTACACAATGATTTTAAACGTCCTAATTGTAATTGTGATAAATGAAAATGAAATAATACAGACCAGCTATTACTGCGACCAGCTATCTGACCCTGGGTAAGTTACTTCACCTGTCTGAACTTTCATCAACTGTAAAAGGAGACCATTTTCACCTAAATCACAAAGTTAATGTGAAAATAAAAGTTATGTGGTGTCTTTTATAGTGCCTAGTAAGAAGTAGAGGACCAATGAACGTTAGATTCCTATTTATTCATTCAACTTTAACTGAGCACCTATAATATTTTAGGCATTCTGTTAAAAGGAGTGGATGTAACTGTGAACAAGACAGGCGTGGCCCTGTCTTACAATCTACTAGGGAAAACAGACATAGTATATACCCTAAAAAACCAAACCTGCTGCTGTTGAGTCGATTCCAACTCATAGCGACCCTATAGGACAGAGTAGAACTGCCTCATAGGGTTTCTAAGGAGCGGCTGGTGGATTCGAACTGCTGACCTTTTGGTTAGCAGCCGAGCTCTTAACCACTGTGCCACCAATATATATGCCCACACAAATTGTTGTAATTGTGATCACTGCTATATCAATCTATTTTTATTCCAGTTTGAGGATTCAGGTAAAGCTTCCTTGTTTGTAATATTTAAGATAGCATCTGAAGGAGGAATAGCAGTTAGCCAGACAGGCAGGAAAGTAACAATTCAGGCAGTGGTAAAAACTGTGAGGACCCATTCTAGGAAGTGAGAGAAGGAATGTGTTATCAGTGATTTGTTCCCATTCATCCCCATTTTGGGGTTTGTGAGGATACCTCATTATCTAGTTTTGTTACAAGTGTTATACACTGGTTTTTGATTTTGCTATCTTTAGTTTCTTTTTGTTTTAATAGAAGATTTGAAGAAGTTTAAAAACTATGCTGCCATTGTCATCTTCCCAGAATGTACCCCTAAACTGAAGGTTTGGTATTTCATTCATTAGAAACTTTGATTAAAAATTTCCATCTGATTTTGAAAAAAATATAATTAAATGTACAACAGTGCTACTCAAAGTGCCTGTCCATGACAAGAAAAGGAGCCTGTGCCAGAAATAAACTCACATCCTTCTTCACTGAGAAAGTCTTGCTACAAAAAAAAAACCTCAGCTCATGGCATCTGGGGTCCTAAAAGCTTGCAAGCGGCCATCTAACATGCATCAATTGGTCCCAACCACCTGGAGTAAAGGAGAATGAAGAACACCAAAGACACAAGGAAAGTATTAGCCAAAGAGACAGAAAGGGCCACATAAACCAGAGACTTCATCAGCCTGAGACCAGAAGAACTAGACGGTGCCCAGCTACCACCAATGACCGCCCTGACAGGGAACACAACAGAGAGTCCCTGATGAAGCAGGAGAAAGGTGGGTGCAGAATTTAAATTCTAGTAAGAAGACCAGACTTAATGGTCTGACTGAGACTGGAAGAACCCTGGAAAGCATGGCCCCTGGATTCTCTATCAGCCCAGAACGAAAACAATTTCCGAGGCCAACTCTTCAGACAGGGATTGGACTGGACTGTGGGACATGAAGTGATACTCGTGAAAAGTGTGCCTCTTAGCTCAAGTAGATACAAAAGACTAAACGGGCAGCTTCTGTCCGGAGGTGAGATGGGAAGGCAGAGACGGTTAGGAGCTGGTTGAACGGACATGGGGAATCAGGGGTAGAAAGGAGGAGTGTGATGTTGCAGTATGGGGAGAGCAATTAGGGTCACATAACAACGTATGTATAAATTTTTGTATGGGAGACTAACTTGAAATGTAAACTTCATTTAAAATACAACAATAAAAAAAATTTAAAACAATCTCAGCTCATCTAAACTGTATGCATAGTGACATAGTAAATTTGCATTACTATAAGCTCCTTATCTTGTTGGGAATCAGTTACAAAGAGTTCATGAATGAATGACATGCCTGAGTAGCACTAATTATAGACTCCTTTTTTTTTTTTTAAATTGATACCAATTTGTAGAAAAATTATTTTAACTTAAAAGTAGTTTTTCAAAAGCTCAAATAATTCTAAAACTTTATTGATGGGCAGCAAGTAACGCCATGCAGAGATTTTTTCTTTTTTAATTCAACATCAGCTTCATTACAAAAATTTTGTTGTTTAGTTACTTTAAATTTAACTGATAAAGTATTACAGGGTGTTTGGACACAGTTTCTTATACACTACAATCAATTATAAAAATATTTCTGCTTTATATTTTAACTGTGGAATACTGTTTCTACCATGCCACTGTATATGTATTACCAATGTAAAAACAAATAATTTTATTACCAATATTAAACTTTTTAACTGGATTTACAATGGTATTTACAATAATGTTAGATATTTCACCTTTGATAGAATGGCTTCCAAGAAAAATTGAACCATTATTGAAATTAACTGACTTACTATTTGAAGTATCTGCTCACACTGGTATAAAACTGACATCATTTTAACTGTTTGTGAAGCTATTGTTTTTTCATCAGAGTCAACTTATTAAAAGATAAGGCTTCATGTTTCTATACGAATACTTGATATCAAGAAGAATCGAATTAATTTAGAAGATATAAAAGAATATTCAAGTTTCACAGAGTGATTATACAAATGCACCTTATGCATTTATAGAACTGTAATTTTCGGGCAGCCTAAGAGTAACAACTAACTTTGCAAATAAGTGCTTCTTTACCAGATTTGTATATTATGCTTTTCATTCTGAGTTCAGTGATATCATTATAGTTCTCATGGTGGAAGGTAAATATAATAGTATTTTGAGCAAGTTATACATGGGTTAATTTTCTTAAGAAGAAAATCAAATTTTTATTTTCCACTAAACATACATTTTTGTTTTTATATTTCTTTTTGCTACCAAAAGAATTAAATGCAAATTAAAAGTGTTACAAACAATGAAATAGTTATAGCTTTTACCAGGCGATAAATGGTAAAACAACTGTACCAAGAGCCTTCAGGATTTTCTCTTATGACAAGATTCCTTAGCTTGTATTTTTAAAGCATATTTCATGTACACCTAATCTATAATTTCTCACTGACTCTGCCAACTGGCTTCATGTACTTCACAGGTCATACAACTGACCACTACATCAAATGGCTGGGTTTGGTGGGGTAGCAGTATTTAATACTTTTCCCACCAGCACCCAAAACAAAAAAAAACAATCAGCTATCCCTCATGTCTGCTTACATTTTATAAGTGAGTGCCCCACAGCTATTGCTGAATGGGAGGTGTTATATTGGGCCTGGAAAAAGTCAGGAGAAGAGAATTATCGCTGGCCATCTTTTAGATTTAACCATGCCTTAAAGTGAGAATTCTGTTCACTACGTATGTTTCTTATACACTACTAGACAAGACCATGCAGAAGCAGGTCATGAAATAAGCCAACCCTGGCTTATTTCAATGTAAAAAATTAAAATTATACAACTTCATTATAAAATAAAAAATATGGGAGCAAATACTAAACATGACATGACACTGAGGCAGTGGGGCTAAACCAGGACTGTCCCAGGCAAACTGCCTTTTTTTATTTTTTTACCTACTTTTACACTTGGTCTAATTATAGACCACATGAAGGATTTTGAACTTTATTGTAAAAGCAATGTAGGGCCATGGCAAGTTTTAAGTAGGGGAATGACATTTTCAGATTTGCATTTCTCAAAAAAACTTCAGCTGTTGCGTGGAGAATGGATGAAAGGGGCAAAAGTATATGTGATGCTGCTTTTCATTAACAGTAGCCGTAGGGGTAGCAACCATTTATGATGTGCCAGGTCCTGTGCTGATCATTTATGTGCATTATGTCAATTAATCCTCACAACAAATTTGTCAGGAAGGTAGTATTTTTCCCACTGTCTAGATAAGGCTCTGGGAATTAGAAATGTTAGGTAAATTGCCCCAAGTAACACAACCGGTAAGTGGTAGAGCCTGGAGAAACTCAAATACAAGTTTGGCTTCCTTCACACTTAAATCTCCAAATGATATCTCTGCTTTTTATATCTGTTTTCCCATTAGATGCCTTAAGAGTAGCAATTATGTTTTAAAAAGAACATCTAGGAGGGCAGAGAAAGATGGTAAAGTGAGTGGATGCTCACATTTACTCCCCCAGCAACTAATCATTGAACAATGAATAAAAACAAGCACAGATTAAGATCTCAGGACTCTGGATGGCAGCTGAGATGTTGGAGTGTTGGAGTGAGCCCAGAAGCAGGGGAAAGGAGGAGCGGGGATGGCACAGAAGCTGGGAGAATCTACCTGCTAACATCTGGAGCACTTGCTCATTGCAGCCATTTTGGGATGGGGCTGAGTAACACCCAAACAAGGAACACAGAAAGGGAGCTAATCTGACGTAGCTGTAGCCTGATTGGCTGTGGGAGTTTGCTAAGCAATTGGGAGGGGGTGAAGGGAGACTGTGGCACTCTGAGAGAGTACTGTTGACTCTAACTGTGGCCCAAGATGGACAGGCACTAAGACTAGGAGGAACTGCAGGGGCAACAAAGCAAGGGGAATACTTTGGATGGACGGGCAACACAGAGGGAAACGGCTGGCTTCCTGTCCACAGTGAGACACTATGGGACAGCCTGTGCAGGGGCGCCCATGAAGGAAAGACATAGAGAACCCCCATCTTCATCACAGGGAAGTCGAGCCCCACTGTGTACATCAGCGTCTGCCACCAGCTAAAACCTACCCCCCC